TTCCATACAAAATCCTAGATCCCACATACTCTTACAATTGACGCTTCCTTTAGTAAGTTAGATGTTCAGTAGGAAACTTTAAAGATTTCTATGATAATTAAATAAGGAATATTGGAGTAAGAGAAGGAAACGTATAGAGTGAGAAAAAGAGAGAGAAAGGTTTACTTGTGATAATTTATATTTATAACTATGTACTCAAACTTGTGTTTATATTTTAGAAATATGAATAATGTTCGTCCATTCTCTTTTGGTACAAAAGGTCGGATTCTTGGCATCGTAACGTACATTTATCATCACAGACGGTTGAGCCGATAACAGCTCGCACCTGGAATTCAAGGTGCAGTATTTGAATATTAGAACATTGCTTGTATTTTTGAACCTTGAAGATTTTTATAAAGTTTGAAGTTTAACCCTTATTTATAAAATGCATTACATTGTAAAAGTAAAAATATACGGTGCCATAGTTTTACTAACGATTATGGTGGATCCGATCAACCTAGGGGTGGTGATTACAGCAAATTATTCTTGAGAGGCCCACGTCCAGCAGTAAATTGAATTGCTACCGTTTGATAAAATGTGCGTAGGAATTCTTCCTAATATAATTCTTCCTTCCACTTTCCACCATCAGATTTTTTTTTCATATATCGCTATGTTCATCATAATTATCATCAGTAGCCTGCGACAGTCCACTGCTGGACATATAACTCTCGCCCGATCTTCGGCTTCACGCATCTTGTTGATGCCAGCCGCCTTGCGTAGATCGTCGCTCCATTTAGACAGGAAACCTTGAACGTCATCTTTTAGGCGTCGATCTATATGTATACATACATATATAATATGTATTTATGTAGATATAAGACTATTGAGAATTAGTTAAGAAAGTTATTATACAAATTATAGTAAATACAATAACATTTAGGACGAATGAACGCATGAACGCATTTCTTCAAAGCAAAGGTCACTTGATAAAGCATAAAGCGTTAAAATCTCGCTACCAACATTTAGGTCCTAGAATGATATGATACTCGTGTCATACAGTAAAACATATAGTAATACATATAGTAATAACATTTAAAGTTCTCTTTATTCTTAAATTCCAAAAGACAAATTGCTTTTCAAAATAGTTTTAGCCACAGTCCTATCCATTACACATTCCAAGCGGAGAATTCACCTGTTGGCGCAGGCGCAGACCGTGCCCCAATTTTCCGTCCTTGCTCTAACAATAGATTCTCTATAAACATGTCAGATTGCGCAGCTTGTTTACATTATGCCGGTTAATAATTATTGATGGTTAAATGTCATTCCTTCTATTGATCTTAAAAATGGCATAAAAATATATACGTGGCGTCACGCATGTAATCCCTGAGGTGTAGGTAGAGTCCAAAGAGTAGCGAGCTACTCGAACCATGTTTAGCAAAAAAAAGTTGCATTGGCGAAAAGTATGAATCCATAATAAATAATGAATTATTTTTTATTTTTCTATATAATTAATTTAAGATACTATTAATCTTAAATGACATATTGAAAAGTTGTTTAAAATGAAATAACAGCAAACGAGACGAGTGCAGTAATAACTAATGATGATTAGTTTTAAGGTTAGCTTTAACAACAAATTAACTGAATCAGATCAAGATGTTGCAATGGTTTTTGAGAAACATTTTACTGATATTCCGATCTTAACCACTAAGTCACTGAATTCTTCTCCTGCCGTCGCCGAATCATTACTTAAACAAAATGTAAATGCGTGTACAAAGAATTTCACATTTCAATATTTCAAAACTTTTGATATTAAGAAAACTGCAGATCTGTGGGGGATTTCCGTTAAAATTATTGCGTTCTGTTACTAGCACCTAGCTATTATTTTTAATATTAGTATCGAATATGGTATGTTTTCTGATTTAATGAAACATAGTAAAGTAATACCTTTATTCAAATCTGGTAGTACATTAGACCACGCCAATTTTAGACCAATTTCTGTACTGCCAACACTTAGTAAGGTTTTTGAAAAAATTGTTCTTGATCAAATGTTATTTTTTTAATATAAATAGTTTACTTCATAAAAATCAGTTTGGTTTCACAAGGGGTCGCTCTACAACTGATGCTGGTGTAGAGCTGATTAAATATCTTTCAATGCATGGGAGAATTCACAGGATGCTTTGGGTATATTTTATGACTTATCCAAAGCCTTCGATTGTGTTCACCGTGAAAAATTAATCAGGAAACTACAAAACTACGGTGAAAGAAGTAATACTCTTAAATTAATTGTTTCATATTTAAGTAACAGAACGCAAAAAGTTGTCATTAATAGTAAGAGCTCTTCCGGGTCGATAGTACAAATGGGTGTGCCTCAAGGCTTAATTCTCAGCCCCTTTCTGTTTCATGTATATATTAATGTTTTACCTTACATAGTAGGGGATAACCATAATATAGTATTATTTGCTGATGACACTTCATTAATTTTCAAATTAAAACGACAATTATTAAAATATGACGAAGTAAATAATGCTATATCTAAATTAATAAATTGGTTTAATGTCAATAACTTGCATTTAAACGATACTAAAACGAAATGTTTGAAATTGATGACTCCAAATGTCAAACAATTAAATACTAATGTAATTTTAAATGGGGAGGAACTGAGTGTTGTCGAAACCACCATTTTTCTTGGAAAAACAAAATTAGCAACCAGACTTAGTTCTGCGGCATATCCTGTAAAGAAGATTATAAATCTTACCAGTGTGGAAACAGCTAGACTAGTAGTACTTTGGCTATTTTCATAGCATAATGTATGGTATTCTGCTATGGGGACACGCGATTGACACTGAAATTATATTTGTTTTACAGAAGAGGGCCATAAGAGCAATCTATGATTTAAAACCTAAAGAGTCGTTCGGACAAAATTTTAAGGAAGTTAACATATTAACTTTGGCCTCACAATACATTTATGAAAATGTAATGTACGTACACAAAAATAAAGGTAGTTATACAAAAAATAAGTGATATTCATTCTGTAAATACTAGGAACAGACACAAGCTAGTAGTGCCGGTTACTCGACTCCACCAAGTCAGTAATTCATTCTTGGGGCGATGTATACGGTTTTACAATAAAATCCCAGAAAATGTACAAAATTTAATCTGCTCGAAGTTCAAAAACTTTATTAAACAAAGTTTGTATAAAAAGGGTTATTATAATATTAAGGAATTTATGGATGATAATAACCTCTAGGAATGAGGTGATCGCTACCAAGCTATTTCTAATTTATTATGTGTGGTTAATTATGATTACATGATTGTAGCTGTTATTTAGAAAAAAAAAGTCCCGCTGGGTTTCTTGCTGGTTCTTCCCAGGACAGAGGTTTTTTTTCGAACCAGTGGTAATTAAACAAAGAGTGACTTTCAATAAGTATTATTTATAACCATATTGAATAAAAAAGTTTCTGTTTCTGTTTCTGCTTCTGTCAGCTACAGTATACAGTTAAATAAATCAGAATATGTAATTTACAATCTTGCTACATACAAAGGGTGTAAGCGAAAATATTGTGTTATTTTTTTGTCTAAACCTCATCTTCGCAATCTGCTCTATTATTTTGTAAATGCCGTGTAACGTTAAAAGAGAATCCACTATCAGGAGAGCTCTTATAACAACCAAATAATAACGATTTATAATCACGGCTGCCGTCCCGTCCACCAAGCCTGGCAAAAATAGCAAATATCCCCCGTATGAGATAATGTATGGGAGAGACATAAGTTCTACCATCAAGTTAACAGCCTTCTAAATGTCTTACTTTGTTGTCACTTCATATATGACTGGTCGCTCCAGACACTTGCTTTACCGAGGCTTACTTTGCTAGCTTGCAGGCTACCTTTTTAATTATAATATTTTAAATTACAAAATATTATTATAACTGAACTATATAAAGACAGTTGAGGTGTGTTCCCCCACATGCAAATGATTCTCACCGTAGTTACTCAATTGCACTGCTTATTCTGAACTGGCAACGCTGATAGTGAAAAATGAACCGTAAATACTGTATTCCAAAACCATAAACTGTAATAGTAAACAGTATTATTTGGACACGTAGAAAGAATAAATGATATAGAGTGAAAAAACAAATTTATGTTGCATAAATCAGTGGCATAGTCGGCAAGGGACGCCTACCTGGAAGTTTATCGACTAAATTAGCGATATATTATGATGGGCCAAGAAGAGTGCCAATAACAGATGAATACATGAATGTGTTTATTATATGGATGTGAAGGAAGCGAGAGAGAAAGCGAGAGGGGAAGCGAGAGGAGTGTATTGTGAGTGTATTGTGTATTGTTCCAAATGGAAGTCTGTAGTTTCAATCTACCCCCTCTGGAGAGTTTGTTGAGAGAGTTGTTTCGTTACCAGTCGGATAAATTGGATTGAAAATTCATACTAATACTCATCACATGCATTTAAAGACCAATTTTTATTAATAATAATTGATATATAGAAGCAAAAATTTGGTGGTTTTATTTAAATACAATTCAGTTCTTTAAAAAAAATATGGCAAATATTTGAAGTGAGCAGTCGCAGTCGCAGTTAGGTGTTAAAATTAAACCTGGCGTCTAGCCATCAACTATTATAAGGAGTGCCAAATTTCTTTCACTACATACCATGTCCGGCGTCAATATTAAGCTAATATTATTATAAGAATTATAAGATGCTAAAATGACGAAAAGAATGAATATTACTTAAAATAAATACGAATAACTAAACAAGTTAGTTTAGTTTTAGCAGCTCCAAATTATAAAAAGTTCTCAGATGTTTTGGTTTCAAGATTTCCTTTGTATCAACAACTACCTATATGTTTTCCTGTAAGTAAAATGAAGAGATGCTTCGAAACAAATCTTAATAAAATGAAACCATCTTAAGATTTATGTGACCTTGAGCAGGGAGTAACGCGATGTTAGGATAGACTCACGAAAAACATCTGTTCATAATCGAAAATTGTAGGTATGATCTATTTTCGCAGTTGCAGGCGCACACGAGCAGGCTTAGGTGTGAAGAGACTTCTAAAATAAGGCTGTAGTACTTCATTCTTCAAACATGACGGAAAATGGGTAAGATTTTGTCAGTATGTTTTGTTTAGTAATCAAAATGCTTCATTATATATATTTTTTTAATTTATTAAGCATAATTATGTTACATTATCCAGTACAATACTAGCATATAAACCTCTAGGGGTTTATCTACACTAGAGAGTCGTCTTATAAAAACAAAGATGTATTAATATTAAATCACAATAATCCAGTATGAAGTACTTACTACAATAAGTATGGTTGATTTATCAAATATGATTTAAGCTTACTTTTAAACAGTTTTGATTTACCGTATGTGTTTTGTAATTCTAGTGGCAAGGCATTAATAAAAGTAGGTACAAGATGGGCCAACTTTCTTGCTCCATAGAAATTTTTAGTTTACGGAAGTACATACATGTTGGATTTATAAGCTATATATATATATATATATATATATAACAAAAATAACACATGAACTATAAAATAAAAATAAAAATATGAACACTTTGAAAACATATAACCAGTGGAATTGAATTCGTCAACTTGAGTGAAAATAACGCTAGAATTGGCTGCTTTCCAGATACGGACCCTCGCATGTCACTGGACATATTGGCAGAATACCTAACTTCGGCAAAACGCAAGTAAATGTAAGTATAAAATGAAAGATAGTTTAATCGCTAATTACTTTATTTGAAACTGTGACAGCAGTAACGATCTTATTTTAAAATATACTTCTTGCGGGCACTATGTCTAAGGAATGTTGAGTTTCTAGAGACAATATTACTACAGTAGTAAAAAGTAAAAAGTTATAGCATAATAGGTATATACGTCCCACTGCCTGCCACAGGCATCCTCCCATTTCTCAGAGTTTTAGAGCAAAGAAGTGTCTTAGAATTTCTTTTTATTTCTCATATATGCAAAATAATTTAAAGAGATGATTAGTTGTCACGTCTAGATGTACAACATCATTTCGTCTATGATACTACATTGTTGTCTATCAACGATATCATCATCGCTTAGCATCGTTAACGTTCATCAATTCATTTTTGTGCTAACGCTTGGAAAATATTTTAATCTGTCAAAATTAAGCAGGATTATTTAAAATATAAATTACCTAGCTAGCTGATCTCTTTCCTTGATAACACTTGTGTACTCTGTATATAACTTGACCATATCATATTTCAATTGCGTATTTTTGGCAATTATGTTATTTCTTTTTCATTATCATCCCTTTCCTTAGGCAACAGTTCACACTGCTCCTTGGATGCCTTTAGTTCTTGGACGCAAGCTTTACTATTTATAAATCTCAAATGAAATTAGCAAGATTTGTCAAATTAACCATGCTGGACAGGTGGGTTGCTAAGCGTTGAATCGATACCCTCGCTTGTGCTTCTTATTACCAATCTGTTGAACAGAATTCAAGTGAACAAATTCTGTTCACTAGGATAGAGTGTTGAATGGATTTTCCCCTATCGGTCGGTGACCAGAACCTCGTCTGTCAATTAACAAAGCTCACCGTGTGCAGGTGTTTAATAAGCCTTAAATTCTTTCATAAACTCCTTTCAAGTGTATCAAAAATGCCGTGTAATTGTAGCGAAAAAGAATCTACTATAACCTCATATGACTCGCGTGCGTATCGTAAGAGGCGACAAAGGCAACCCAGCTTGCATGGGCAGCAGCATCTTCTTGGTAACAACACAATAATAATAAAAAAACTGCGGTTGCCAACCCGACTGCCAACGGTGGCAACTATGCTTAATATCCACCCAATGATACAATCCATGGGGAGGCCTATGTTGTGAAAACTTTTGATAGGCTGTGTTGATAATGATAATTTAAATATAATTATTATTAAATAATTTAATAAAGTTTATTTTTAAAAAGTTTAATTGCTGAATTTTTTCATTACAGCCTATGGGTAGTGTCGAACCACCAGCATGTATTCAAAACGCAATGATGACCAAGGATAAGAAGCCTTTTACTTACACGCCTGGTGGTCTTGATTTATCTCAGATACGCACTCCTAGTATGGCTAGGAGGCTAGCAAAACAGCGTTCATTAGAGGATCAAGAAAAAGCTTACGCACAGCAGCAACATAATTTAAATAATGGTGGCAACTTTAACACACACGGGGGTCCGGTACCTCCACCTCCACCACCCCCTAAGATGCCTGTACCACCACCACCACCGCCATTGATAATAGAAGCACCAAATGCAAAATCTACAAAACCAGTGCCTTTAGGAGAAAGGCCTGAAATAGTTATTCCAGAAAATCCAATTGGTATGTTACGAAAAACAAATAGTCCATACCATTGGGAAGCTGAAAAAGCGGAAATGCAACGAGTGGGACCAGTTCCTAAATTTGTAGAAAAAGTTCCAAGTCCTTTAACAGTGAAGCTACCACAGCAGCAAATGAATCAAACTTATTCATCACCTGATCAAAACACTTTACAAAGGCGAAATTTCTCGTACAATAACCAGAATAATAAAGCACCTGAAAGTCCTATTTATCGCCCTGAGGCGCAATATGGCCATCCAAAATCAAATTCCACAAATGTCAATGGGTCTCCACAAACTCGAGAAATGCTCGTAAGACAGGACTCACAATTCAACAAAAGCCCTCAGCCATTTACAGGGCAATCACCTCTTAGTAATGGCTCACCATATTCACCAACACCTAATAATAATTGGAGACAACCCGAAAAGAGAGATTCTCCGGCTAGCAAAACGAACAGTCCCCTTACTCCGCAATATAATCGTGGTCCGTTTTCACCAAACACCCAACAAGGTTCGCCAAATTATTCTAATCAATCGCCACCTATTTACCATACTCTACCTAGAGTTGGTCAGAGAAACCTAGATTCCGTTAATAATACCATGCAACAGCAACCAGTACACCAGAGTCCGAATACTGAGCAATCAAACTATCCACCGTGGCGAACGCAAACAATAAACAGATACCCACGAGGAGGAGAGAGTCAGCAAATTGTAAATATTCAAAATCCTAATCAACAACAAGCTTATAGTCCTCCATGGAAATCAAGTGATGCTAATAATAACAGGACTGAAAATAGCTACATTCCGCCTTGGAAGCAAGAAAATAAAGTAAATTCTCAAAAATCGTACAGTCCATCAAGGTTAATGAGTCCAGATATTAATAGTAATAATGAAACAGCTAAAAACTCTAACGTTCCTTGGAGAAATCAGGACAATTCTCAAAATAGACCAATACCTTTAACCACGAATTCACAAGAGCAGCCCCGATATCAGTCCACTATTTCCATCCCAATTCAGGGAAACCAAAGAAAACAAAACTCACAACCAGAATATAATAATCCTTCACAACAAAAAGAAGTTGTATATGTTAACCAAGAACCAGTGTTTTACTGCCCTGAAAGCCCTAAAACAATACCACCGTGGGTAAAGACACAAAAAGAAAAAACCAAGACACCGCCTCCTTCCTGGTGTAACAGACCGTTGGAAGGTAGAAGAAGCTCACCGAGGGAATTAGTTACGCCACCCAGAGAATCAAATCAAGAACCTGAGTGGGTAAAAAAGAGCAGTGAAATGCAAAGAAGTGTAAGAGAAGTTATAAGTCCACCAAAATATCAGCAGACAGCACAGCCAAATTGGTCTACACGCCCTTCAGAAAATCGTAAAAGTTTACCTAAAGATAATGGGATGAATACTGAAGGAACTAGAATAATTCCTATTCAAATGGAAGTATCAACATCTGAGACTAAAGACCAAAATAGACAGAGAGAACGTCAGCAACCTCAGTTAAGAATAGTAATAGACATGAAACAAAATCCTGATGCTCAATCCCGTGCCCAGGCTCCTTACTCGCAGCCAACGCAGCGCATCATGAGGGTATTATCGCCGCAATTAGTTAGACTTGATGATGAATCTTCACAACAAGAACTTCCAACATTAAACAGGAATTTCAGCCAAGACAGTCATCCCAAAACGCGAATTATCCCCATTCAGATTGAGAGTACGAATAGTGGAGCAAACAAAAGGTAATTTCTATGATATTTAAATAATAATAACATGTACATGTATTATAAAATCTTTCGATTTGAAAGTAAAAGTTATCTATTGCGAATTTAAATACATGAATTCTGTTTTCAGCTTCGGTGGGCGGTACTAAAGGAGTTGCTTGCACTGATCCCAAGTAAACACTTTTTTTGCACTGTTTGTAAATCTGCAAAGAATCAGTGTTACGCTTGTTTTATATTAAGAAAAACTTCGTTTTGCAAACGCTCTTATTTAGTTTACAGTACTAATTTTATTTTCATTGTGACTTTTATTTGACTCTTACGTTAATACCTCGTAGATCTAAAGATTTTTGCGTTTAGTTATTAAATACTAATTCCTTTAACTTATAAATATTCTAAGACTGCATAAAATAATACTACTATATCCTATGGATAGAGTTTGATGCTTTGATGTATAGTTAATTAATACACATTGTGCTTACTTTCAGATGTTTTCATTAACTGCCGTTTTTCTTCTAATATATTATAATATACTATCTTTTCCCGCGGATTCACTCTCGTTGTTTTTTGGTTTAATAATACCGTTAGTGTTGTTAAACCGGAAAACTACGTTAACATACAACATAATCAAACGAAACTGGTGTCCCTTAATTACCTACAATACATTCTAATAATGATATACGGTTTGGATATTTTGGATACCTTACGATTTATATGGTTATATATGCTCTACATTTCGTGTTATTAAGCATTTTATTAAATAAGATCATGTTTTATTTATAGGATAGGGTGACAAACGAGCACACAGTCCACCTGATGGTAAGTGGTTGTTGTGGCCCATAGACATCTACATTTATCTTCGTTTGCGAATCAAAATGCAGATGCGTCGTCACCCGTGAGGACTAAGATGGAATGCCTCTTTTCCAGTGAAAAGGGTCTCCGGTTCTCTACACTCACCATACGAAACACAGCAGTGTTAAGCTGCTATTTTACGCTGGTATTCTGTGAGAGCGTGGTCCTTCCCCAGACGAGCCGACGCATTTGTGCTACAACTATACTACTAATATAGCTGCAGCATGGCTCTACCACGTATAAATGTATTTTAGTAATTTAAATATATGGATTTGTTCTGGAAAATACCGTCAGCGATAATTTTAACCGAGACTGTATATTGCATTGCTTACAGGATTTCAAATCACTGTACTATTTTCTTTTTTCACCAAACATAAGATAAAGTAACAATAAACATGTACACACGTGTATGAGTGCAAGCGTGCGTGCTTGCGAGAGTGCGTGCGTGAGTGCATGCGTGCGTGCGTGCGAGCGTGCATGCGTGCGTACGTGCGAACGTGCGTGCGTGCGCGCCCAGCGCGTGATTGTGTGTGTGTGTGTGTGTGTGTGTGTGTGTGTGTGTGTGTGTGTGTGTGTGTGTGTGTGTGTGTGTGTGTGTGTGTGTGTGTGTGTGTGTTAAAGATGACTAGTGAGTAAACGTGCCGTTAGTAAGTAAATATTCCAGTTTGAAGTGTTCACTAGGTGCCGTAAGAGGTGCCTATGACAACATTTAGAAAACTCTCGTAGCTCTCGATAGATAGACCGACCTATCGCAAGCTATGATTAAAATGTATCATCTAATTTATTTTCAAAATTATGTATAAGTAATAACAGTGTTTAAGCCAAATTATCAATATCTCTTCATGAAAGTTTGAGAAAGTTGCTCTAATAAAAAGGCTGAAAGCTTCCTTAAGATATGATGACATAGGGACCTCTATATAAATTGATATAGACGAATATAGTGACGACTTTTGCTGCTTTGATAGGTGAATGATCACTAGAAATATGTCAGTACCTACAGAATGTATTTCATAAACATGATGCATGAAATATATTTATTATTATATTATTAATTAGTTTTTCGTTTATCAATTTCAGAGTACACTATCACAAAATCAGCCAAGAGGGTCCGCCGCGACAGTCAAGAACATTTAAATTATTGCAGGTTTTAACAGACACGCAAGACTCGGATGCAATGCAGAGGAAAGATAATAGAATAGGTTATACAGACTTTTAGTTTTCAGACAAAAACTTAATCACAAACATAATACACAAATATGTAGTCTAAATTTATGTCTAAAGCTTTTATCTGAACAAATCTCACAGCTTTAGTTTTTTGTAAGCTGTAGTGATTAGTAACTTTTTCATTTGTCTGGTATTTACTTTTATTTTCATTTTAATTTATTTTCAACAACATTATGTGCGAATATTAATTTTGTAAAAGTATAGTTTAACTTTAAATTATATAAATTAAATAAGTTGCAATTTAATTGCTTAATTTATATCGGTATTTAATAAACAAAGCGCTTAAAGGATTTCGAAACGCTTTTAAAAATGGCGCGGGTGATGTTGCTAAATATTTCTACTTAAATATATTTTTTGATTGGTTTTTTGTAACATAGAATTACAGTTAAGGGGAATCTTAAAATCTTATTTTAGTATTTAATAATAATGTAGCATGAATGGAATCAATGACGAAAATACGTGCTTAATTTTGTGATGTTAGATATTACTAATGCTCATAATTTTATAATTAGATACAGCTAATATACCAAAGAATAGATTAATAAATTATTTTTTCTAGTGTAGTTATTTTATATTTAATTATATAATATTGTTTTCATAGGAGTAGAGTGTAACACCTGTGAATATCTAATTTATTTAATAACTTTGTTAAGTAAAGTAGGTAGAAGTTAAAAAAATATTTAATTAAATTTGAGTATGTTTAATTTCTTAAACCAAATTAAAGTAGCAGGACGGTTCTCGATATTTTAAGCATAATATTGTGCGTCTGCGTCAAGAGATTTTATTGCTTCAGTTCTATGAGTTATGATTTTTAAGTAAATTAATGTCATAAACGTATAATGGGTATTTTAAATGTTATCAAAAACAAGTATTTTATTATTTTCATAGTTTGTATGTATTTAATGTATCGCTGATTTGTCTTATCATAGTATTTTATTGTGTTTCAGCTATATTTACTAACGGAACGCATCATTATTAAATTATAATGTATTTATTCAATATCTTAATAACATGTAATATAATTATTTTATGTATTTACAAGTTTATTTCAAAATTATTTATTTACTTTATTTAGATAATTAATTCTTCAACTAACATTATTGTTATGGCTTTGTTTATTAAATAATGTAACAGATAAAGTCAATAATACTTATTGTACATGTTACTTAGGGATGGGCAAGGGAAAAATATATCGATATATATCTAATCGATATTTTTAAACAGTATTGATATATATCGCGTGATAAAATCGATATATCGATATCGTCATCATTTGCATGATGTAAAGATAAGGTTCAATTTTTTTTATACTACTGCCGGTTGGACGACGAAAAAAAAAACTACAACCAACCATACATGAATACTTTCTTACATCCTTTTGTTGTTACATGTTTTGTCATAATACAACATTTCAAAAGATATCGAAATGGATACGAATTCGATACTCTAAAATAAATATCAATATATCGATATATCGCGATTTAAGATTTCGACGATATACAGGGTGGCCCATAAGTCCCTTGAAATGTAAAAAAATAATTAAAAAAAAACTAATGACATTATGAAAAAGGTTTTTATTTTGTCATAATCCTTATAAAATGGGAATTATTTTTTGAAAATTACATCATCTAAATGTTATCCGTTACGATCGCGGCACTCCTGTAAGCGACGTTTAAAATTATCCATCACTGCGTGGCAAGTAAGCTCTGTAATGTTTGCCATTTCTCTTTGGATATTTTCTTTCAGGACGTCAATTGTCCGCGGGTTGGTTTCGTACACTTTAGTCTTAAGATAACCCCATAAGAAAAAGTCCATTGGGGTCAGATCTGGACTACGTGGTGGCCAAGGAATATCTCCTCTTCGAGAGATCACTTTATTAGGGAAAAGTTGACGGACGACCGGCATAGCGACGTTAGAGGTATGGGCAGATGCTCCATCTTGTTGAAACCAGGTCCGCGTATTGAAGCCTGGAAAATTCTGCAACTCTGGTGTAAAAAAGTCCTGGAACATAGCTACATACCGTTGTGAAGTAACAGTAAGCGCGCGGCCTCTGCCGTCCTCAAAAAAGTAAGGGCCTATAATGCCATGCGCTGACATAGCCGCCCAAACTGTCACTTTAGGGCTATGTAAGGGCTTTTGATGTTTGCGATTTGGATTTTCGCAACTCCAGTAGCGACAATTTTGCTTATTGACATGGCCGTTGATGTGAAAGTGAGCCTCATCAGAGAATAACACGTTATTAAACGAAGTACAGCGGTTCAACATTTCATTTGCGAAATTTAGTCTGTGGATAGTGTCAGTATCTTTTAATTCCTGTACTAACTGAATCTTGTACGGGTGAAGATGTAAATCTTTCTTTAAAATTCGCTGTAACGAAGTTCTGGGTAAGTTTAATGCACTGGAACGCTTACGAGTAGACTGGGTAGGATTTTCACGAATTGAGTGTTTCACTACATCGATGTTTTCTTCCGTCCGTGATGTCCTTGGTCGACCTGACCGTTGTTTATCCAACGTCGAACCACTCTCTTCGAACTTAATAACCCAGTTCTTAATCGTTTGAACACTTGGAATGTCTTTAAAGTTGCGTAAATTCTGATATTCTCGAAATTTACGCCGCGCAATGGTAGCCGAATCATTGTTTCGATAAAACTCGCGCACACAAAATGCACGGTCCGCACCGGTGAAACGCTCCATGGCGACTGAATTCCCAGAAACCGTCGGTACTCCCCTCGCACCGCGCGCGCCACTCATGCGCGCCTTTTGTATTTTATTCGAAATTTACATTTCTAACGACTTATGGGCCACCTTGTATTTCGATTTCGAAATTTTTTTCCCAAGCCTAATGTTATTCATACTGTTTTCCATCCAAATGCCTAATAAACTAATAAAACACTAATAGCTGATGTAGCCTTTTAGATTATTTCCTCGAATAACCGACCCGCGAATCCTGGTTTTGTGTTATTATTAACAAATATCAAAAGTTATTTTTCGTTATAAAGTGGCACAATTCTTTGTTTTGATACTTTGTTCATCAAAAATCATTGCGTATGATGATAGCTTACTCAATTAGAAAAGTATAAAAGTACTATTGGTCTTGTATGTAATCACTATAACTTTTATGAAAACAATACTGATAACATGACACTAAAATGTAATTTGATTGCTTGAGTCAAATTATGCTGAGATTAAAGGGGAGCAACTATTTATGTCACCAATAATATATAACAAATACTTGATGGCACTTTATACGGGGAACAACATTGAACAGACAAGGGGTGTGGCAGTCTAGTCAGAGTGGTCTTATCTAAATTATTTCATATTTTTACTTAAATATTATTTCATAAATTTATGTATAAGGTTAGAGTAAAACATTATAAGTATAAAGTAATTTATTGTTAAACATTAAATAAAATTGTTTTAAACTAAGATGTAGTTTTATTTTATAATTTGTATTTTATCCAATGCCATATTCCTGTTTGAAAGGCATTAGAGTTATTTCGAAAAAACAAAGTCATTCATAAATAGGGTTGACAGCTTCCGTTATATGTTTTAAAGGATTTGGTAAGATTAAAAAAAGGACATAGGATAAAAATAGAGGATAGCATATGGTTTTTCATAAAATGCTGTTATGGTATCAGCAGCGACACATTCAGACATTCATACATCGCGCGTCACCTCAACGTGATTTAAACTCTGACCTCAACTAGCAGAGAGAATGTCGTATACGCGCCATATTGTCTTGTTCCTTGTCCCCAATTTATTATATATATATCTATTATTGATTCCAAATTAGGGACAAGATCAATTTTGGGTGTGAAATAGTTTAGACGTCCTTTAAAATACAGGACTAGGCTATGGACTACTACTTTATTTTAAAGGATGTCTGGTAAACCTAATCATAGAAAACATTAAATGGTTCTAATTTTTTAGGAATTTTTGTCACTCTAAATTACTTATTTGCATATGTTCCCGACCTTATATATAATACTAGCTGATTCGGCAAATGTAAGTAGTTCTACACTTCCCAGTTTTTAAAACACGATGAATTCGTACTTTTTACGGTGTAATCAGCGCCACCATCAGGTCCAGAGATTTTCTAACTGCATCACTTTATGACTTAAGTTTAAGTTACATAATTTTATTCGTCGGATAGGTAGGAAGAAAACCTTAAAAAGAGTTTGACGTGGTAAAGCCACGCTTCAGGTTGCATTTGCAGCACGAATGCATCGGCTCGATCGAGTAAAGACAACGCTCTCGCAGAATATCAGCGTCTATAGCAATATAATGCTTCTGCATTTCTGACAGTCTATCTTATTTTAAAGGGATGAAACGTATCTACATTTTGATTCATAATCGAGGATAGATGTAGACACTATGGGCCACAGCATTCACTTACCATCAGGTGGACTGTGTGGCCGTTTGTCAACCCAATCCTACCAAGTAGTGAAGTAGTCGAATATGTTAAAGTACACTGACTTCGCCCTGGTTTTGGAAGGAATTAAAACATATCAAGTAGCTCTTGCGCACGCTTAATCAGCCCGTAACAGTTCCATTAGCTTAGGAAGATCCACCATCATCACCATTAAAACTATGGGAGTATACATTTTTACTTTAAAAATGTACAACAAATTACCACGCACACGTGAATTCCAAAAACACGCATTGGAGCATTGCAACGGACTAATTGCTTCAAAAGGAACTTGGCATCTATATTTCAGCAAATACGATTTTTTTGTTTTTTTTTGTTTGGTTTTTGTTTCGCACACGCAGGTATTATCAAATTAACGTCTAGATTCAATTTCTCGGAGTATTTCTTTATTAGATCGCTAGTTGTTTTAAGCGTATTAGTTGTAGAGTCTGTTTTGACCTTTACGTACATACTTTCATCCGATAAAAGTTGTTGTATTTTAAAATTGTAATCCGACGTATCCATTATAACCGTAGCATTACGTTTATCTATAAAAAATCGTTTCTGTTTACGATGTGTTCTTTTTATATTTTTGTAGTAGAATTACGGACACTTCCTTCCTATCCATTATTACTGTTCTAAGTTAATTGCTCAGGAATGATGTCCTTATGACCGATACCGAGCACAGCGGTGACTTATGAATCGGAAGCTGTAAACTGAGCGGGAGGTATACTGTAATGTCTCTTAACTATTCATTACTCTATACCTGGTAGAGCCATGCTGCAGCTATATTAATAGTATAGTTGTAGCACGAATAGGTCGGCTCGACCGGGGAAGGACCACGCTCTCACAGAATACCAGCGTAAAATAGCAACTTAATGCTGCTGTGTTTCGTATGGTGAGTGTAGAGAACCGGAGACCTATTTTACTGGAAAAGAGGCATTCTATCTTAGTCCTCACGGCTGACAACGCATCTGCATTTTAATTCGCGAACGAAGATAGATGTTGATGTTTATGGGCCACAGCAACCAATTACCATCAGGTTGACTGTGTGCTCGTTTGTCACCCTAATTCTATAAAAAAAACCTTTTTTTGTGGATAATCTCCCCTGCTCCGCGGGTGCAATGCTTATCTCAGACTTGCATTAATTAAAATTTACTTTAAAGAAGTTTTAAGTTTGCACTTCTGTCAGCTGTCCCCAATAATTGAATTAAACAAAAATCTTAAAAAAATAAAGAAAAAAAAGCAAAGAAAAAAGAAAATAAAAGAAAAGCTGACTCCAAGGAACTAAAACAAATGTTCTGAAGTCGTGATAAGACATAATGTATGATATAATTAAAGCCCCAACTTTAGAATGTTAAATGATTGAAGTGAAAGCTTCTTTGCGATTTTTATACGGAAAAAATGTTAGTTCACGTCACCAATATGCATAAGTATTCTTAAAATTAATAATAATAATGATACAAACAAAACAATGAATTAATGTCGGAAATTAATTTCCTTGAAATTCATGTAAATAAAAATAGTATGCATAAATAATATATTAATTAAAATGTCAATTAAGTTGTATTAATTTTATGTAATGGGCTTGAACATTTGTGTAGCCCATCATAACTTCTGAATAATGTACAAAACCATGAACAATGTAAATAATTTTTGCTCTGAGTCATAGATGTGAAAACCAGACTAACTACAAGTTATAAAATTTTAATTTTTGACACCACAATTAAATTTAAAATCCAAGTCAGTGTTAAAGCGTAGTTTTAAGTTTTCACTTCTGTCAGCTGTCCCCAATAATCGAATTAAACAAAAATATTTTTAGTTCTTTGAAGTTGGCTTTTACTTTTTAAAGTTATTTTATACCCATCTGAGTGGACTAAGGATTTTTTTTATAGGAGAGGCGGCAAACGAGCATTCGGCTCACCTGATGGTAAGTGACTACCACTGCCCATGAACAACTGCAACACCAAGCGAATTGCAGGTACGTTGCCGGCCTTTTAAAACGGAGTAAGCTCTTTTCTTGAAGTCATATCGGTCCGGAAAAATCGCCGGTGGTAAGCTATTCCACAGAAAGGTCGTATTATCCAGATGGTGTGGATAGTATCGGGAGTTTTGACGCGA